CACGCACACATTCATACGTACCTCACACATACGACACTCATACATGTACATGATCTAAAGGCGCAAATATCATTTTTTGACACTCCGGGCGCGAAATTCGGTTTCTCGTGCATGTTTAGCGGGCGCAAAATAGCACATTCCCGCCCTAGGGCGGAAAAGACGGAAAATGATATAATTACAACTTCGATGGCTTTTGTTATCGATTAATTTCTCGCCCGGCGTGTCAAAAAATAGTATGTGCACCAGGGCGCAAAGAGCATTCTGTCACTCGTGTGAATTTGTCGCCCTCGCTTCGCTTGGGCGAAATTCACACTCGTGCCGGTGCTAGAATGCCCTATTTTGCGCCCTAGGTACACAATGTACTATTAAAAACTATACGCTATACAATTTTCATATAAATGGCAAAAAAATGAAATATTGATGACTCTTCTTAAAATCTGCACTCTGCCTTTCTTTCTGTTTGCCTTCATTGTTCATAGCACAAAATCTGTACTCCAATCATGATTAAATAAATCCAGTTTAATTATGACACATACTTTTTTATACCTAAATGAGAGAGAAGTGAAGAATTGACTATCCTTCAACTCGTCCAGATAATCATGAAAGCAATGTCTCCGAATGATCTTTCACTCTCTCAGCCGTGATGGACAAGGTCACAGTGCGATCAAAGGATGCTCTAAATTCGTTCGGGTGTTACGCAATGATCCTTCGAAGCGATTTTACTGATCTCTCTTCCATCGTTGCTTTTACGCGTGATTGTGAAACGACGTGAATAATGAATTAACTGGACGTATCATCCCTGTTGGCGCCTGACAAAAACTCTCGTTTCGACATGCCTATTCGCGAGCAATCAGCATCGGGAATCGAGGCGCTAGCCGTAAAATAAATGTGTCTTGAGGCTTGCGTAAGCTCCCCGCCAGAAAAAGTCTACTTTCATCTAATAATTTATTAATGCGATTGCAAATTATTTTATTGTCGATCAGGGAGCGTCCTAATGGTTTGCAAATTTTTCGCCACTTTCTCCGTTCGAGACGATTGGCCTTTCGGTAAAAATTGCAACATCGCAAGAATATCGTCTTTAATAAGAGATATTCTTGGGTAACGAAAGGAATTTAAATTAGATTCTATCTACATCGTGTTTCAAAATCAAGTTTTATCGTTCCAAGCGCGGTGGTATCATAAAATTACAGTAGCATCTTCGTCGAGATCTTGAAAAATATCTTCATTCGTAAAATACTTTAGTAATCGTCTTATCAGCTTAATAATAAATTTGTCAAAATTAGGAGTTTCGAAAACGTGTAAACACATTTTAATTATATACAGTATGTGAATATTTTTAATCATATTTGGTCAAGGACCGCGAAATAAAAATTCTGACATTCATGTTTATTAATTTATTAATCAGAATTAGGCCATTTCCATTAATCGTCCATAGTTACTCGGGTGATTTTAAAGCGAGTGAGCATTGACTTATAGGAGCCACCCACAGAACTGCTCATTTGGTCATCTGGTTAAGAATTGTGAAATAAAAATAGCAAGATTCATTTGTATTAATTTATTAATTAGAATTGATCAGACTTTTATTCCAGCAATATTCTACTTAATTCATCTTAACATTTAATTAACATTACTTACAATTTACTTCGTAACTGATAATACAACTCGGAAAGAATTTATACCTCCGCTAGGCTGCCTAATCTGATGCAAAAGCATTTGAAATTGATGCAACCAATATTTCCGAAGAACCAAGCGCTACACGTGAGACATAATTTCGAAGGTAAGCGCAATAAGAACATCATTACAGGCAAGAAAATGAAAGAAAGACAGCTGATAAAACAGAATATTCTTAGTCAGTAGAAATAATTGACACCATGGAGAACTGAAGTAGCCATACAAGCGTCACTCGAATATTATTTGGAGATGAAATTTTGCTGTAACTCGAATAAGAGGGTGACGTGACAGTCAACGTCATTTACAAGCATTTTTCAAATTCGTTAGATCCCAGTTACTGAGGTACTTTAATATTCCTTGAATACAAATTAAATCATAATCTTTGGGAAAAAATGTAACACTCTCGTCTAACAATTCCTTTCGTACCTTACCTCTGTTGAAACGACGTTTTATTATGTCTTCGTACGTAGGAAACATTGTCTGGTAATCGCTCCCTTCCATAACTTGAACAACATCTTCATTTCTCGCGTATAATGCTATTTGGTCTATGCGTTTTGTTAGGATATCATGGAACGTTATTACAGTATTCTTAATTTTTGTGCTTTTCATTCTCCTTATCTCTTCAATACATTTCTTCTGAAATTTTACATATTGCTTGCTTAAATCCGTAGTGATATTAAGATTCTCCACATTTCCGTTATTCATGTTCAAACTAGCAACCTCCATTTTAATTAGTAGCTCTTGGATCATGGACAATCGATCCATAGATCCATACTTAGAACAATATAAGTGCAACGCTGTTTTTTGTTTATCGTTAACAATGTTTACGTTACAATCATTTGCTATGAGAGTCCGAACGGCTTCGTACTGATTGGCGCGGGAGGCAAGATGAAGTGCAGTATTACCTCCATCAACTATGGTATCGATATCGACGTCCCAATTCAAGAGAATTTCCATGATATGTACTTGACCATTTATAGCGGCAACATGTAACGCTGTGGCATTCACGTCAGCTCCTTTCTCGATCAGCAACCTGAAAGTTTTTTCTAGTCCTGCTCGCGCAGCGCAATGAAGCGGTTTGTAGCCAAACAAATTTTGCAATTTGACATCGGCACCATGTTCTACGAGGAATTGTACGATATCTTCGTGTCCCCCATTAATGGCTCGGCACAGTGCCGTAACATCATGTTCGTTTTGAGCATCGACGTCAAGTCCTCTTTCGAATAGCAACCTGCAAGTTTCTAGTAGTCCTACTTGCGCAGCAAAATGTAACGGTGTGTCGCCCAACACAGTGTTCAAGTTGAGATCGGCGCCCTGATCTACGAGGATTTGTATGATATGTTTGTGTCTCTTCTGAATGGCTAGGGACAGTGCCGTTTCGCCATATTTGTCTTGAGCATCGACGTCAACTCCTCTTTCGAGTAGCAACCTACAAATTTCTTCTAGTCCTACTCGCGCAGCAAAATGAAGCGGTGTCTCGTCACTCCGAATTTTCAATTTTACATCGGCACCATGTTCTACGAGGATTTGTACGATACCTTCGTGTCTCTCCTGTATGGCTAGGCACAGTGCCGTTTCTCCCTTTTCCCTTTGGGCATCGACGTCAGCTCCTCTTTCGAGTAGCAACCTGCAAGTTTCTTCTAGTCCTACTTGCGCAGCAAAATGAAGCGGTGTCTCCTCGACCCATCGAGTTTGCAAGTTGACATCAGCACCATATTCTACAAGAATTTGTACGATATCTTCATGTCTCTCCTGAATGGCTAGGTGCAGTGCCGTTTCTCCCTCCTCGCTTTTGGCATCCACGTCAAATCCTCTTTCGAGTAGCGATCTGCAAATTTCTTTTACTCCTACTCGCGCAGCAAAATGAAAGGGTGTCTCGCCCCACCGATTTTTCAAGTTGATGTCGGCGCCCTGATCTACGAGGATTTCTACGATATCTTTGTGTCCCTGATTAATGGCAAGGCGCAATGCTGTTTCTCCATACTCATTTTGAGCATCCACGTCAACTCCTCTTTCGAGTAGCAACCTGCAAGTTTTTTCTAGTCCTGCTCCCGCAGCATAATGAAGCGGTGACTCGCGCCCTTTAACTTTCAAGTTGACATCGGCACCATGTTCTACGAGGAATTGTACGACGCCTTCGTGTCTCTCTTGCAAGGCGAGATGCAGTGCCGTTTCACCCTTCTCGCTTTTGGTATCCACGTCAAATCCTCTTTCGAGAAACAATCTGCAAATTTCTTTCACTCCTACTCGCGCGGCAAAATGAAACGGTGTCTCACCCCAAAAAGTTTTCAAGTTGACATCGGCGCCCTGATCTACGAGGATTTCTACGATATCTTTGTGACCCTCCTTAATGGCTAGGCGCAGTGCCGTTTCTTCATACTCGTGTTGAGCATCCACGTCAACTCCTCTCTCGAGTAGCAACCTGCAAACTTCTTCTTGTCCTTCTCGCACAGCAATACGAAACGGTGTCTCGTCCCTTCGAGTTTGCAACTTGACATCGGCACCCTGATCTACGAGGAGTTGTACGATATCTTTGTGTCTATACTCAATGGCTAGGTGCAGTGCCGTGTATCCCCTTACTTCTTCGGCATTCACGTCAGCTCCTCTCTCGAGTAGCAACCTGCAAACTTCTTCTTGCCCTTCTCGCACAGCAATATGAAGCGGTGTCTCGCCCCTTCGAGTATGCAACTTGACATCGGCACCATGATCTACGAGGAGTTGTACCATATCTTTGTGTCCATTCAGAATGGCTAGGTGCAGTGCCGTTCGTCCCTCACAGTTTTGGGCATGCAGATCAGCGTCTCTCTCGAGTAGCAACCTGCAAAGTTCTTCTAGTCCTCTTCGCGCAACAAAATGAAGCGGTGTCTCCTCGACCCTTCGAGTTTGCAAGTTGACATCGGCACCTTGATCTACGAGGAGTTGTACGATATCTTTGTGTCTATGCTCAATGGCTAGGTGCAGTGCCGTGTATCCATTTATTTCTACGGCATTCACGTCAGCTCCTCTCTCGAGTAGTAACCGGCAAACTTCTTCTTGTCCTTCTCGCACAGCAATACGAAACGGTGTCTCGCCCCTTCGAGTTTGCAACTTGACATCGGCACCCTGATCGACGAGGAGTTGTACGATATCTTTGTGTCTGTACTCAATGGCTAGGTGCACTGCCGTGTAACCACTTACTTCTTCGGCATTGACGTCAGCTCCTCTCTTCAGTAGCAACCTGCAAACTTCTTCTTGTCCTTTTCCCGCAGCAATATGAAGCGGTGTCTCGCCCCTTCGAGTTTGCAACTTGACATCGGCACCCTGATCTACGAGGAGCCGTACCAAATCTTTGTGTCTATACCCAATGGCTAGGTGTAGTGCCGTTTGTCCCTCACAGTTTTGTGTATTGACGTCAGCTTCTCGTTCGAGTAGCAACATACAAATTTCTTCTAGTCCTCTTCTCGCAACAAAATGAAGCGGTGTCTCCTCGACCCTTCGAGTTTGCAAGTTGACATCGGCACCATGATCTACGAGGAGTTGTACTATATCTTTGTGTCTATTCTCAATGGCTAGGTGCAGTGCCGTGTATCCACTTACTTCTTCGGCATTCACGTCAGCTCCTCTCTCGAGTAGCAACCTGCAAACTTCTTTTCGTCCTTCTCGCACAGCAATACGAAGCGGTGTCTCGCCCCTTCGAGTTTGCAACTTGACATCGGCACCCTGATCTACGAGGAGCTGTACGATATCTTTGTGTCCATTCTGAATGGCTAGGTGCAGTGCCGTTTGTCCCTCACAGTTTTGGGCATGCACGTCAGCTTTTCCCTCGAGTAGCAACCTGCAAATGTCTTCTCGTCCTCTTCGCGCAACAAAATGAAGCGGTGTCTCCTCGACCCTACGAGTTTGCAAGGTGACATCGGCACCCTGATCGACGAGGAGTTGTACGATAATTTTGTGTCTATACTTAATGGCTATGTGCAGTGCCGTGTATCCACTTACTTCTTGGGCATTTACGTCAGCTCCTCTTTCGAGTAGCAACCTGCAAACTTCTGATAGTCCGCTTTTCGCAGCTAAATGAAGCGGTGTCTCCTCGACCCTACGAGTTTGCAAGTTGACATCGGCACCCTGATCTACGAGGAGTTGTACGATAATTTTGTGTCTATACTTAATGGCTATGTGCAGTGCCGTGTATCCACTTACTTCTTGGGCATTTACGTCAGCTCCTCTTTCGAGTAGCAACCTGCAAACTTCTGCTAGTCCGCTTTTCGCAGCTAAATGAAGCGGTGTCTCGCGGCTTAGAGTTTGCAACTTGATATCGGCACCCTGATCTACGAGGAGTTGTACGATATCTCTGTGTCTATACTTAATGGCTATGTGCAGTGCCGTGTATCCACTTACTTCTTTTGCATTCACGTCAACTCCTCTCTCGACTAGCAATCTGCAAACTTCTTCTTGTCCTTTTCTCGCAGCAATATGAAACGGTGTCACGCCCCTTCGAGTTTGCAACTTGACATCGGCACCCTGATCTACGAGGAGTTGTACGATATCTTTGTGTCTGTACTGAATGGCTAGGTGCAGTGCCGTGTATTCATTTATTTCTACGACATTCACATCAGCTCCTCTCTCGAGTAGCAACCTGCAAACTTCTTCTAGTCCCCTTTTCGCAGCTAAATGAAGCGGTGTCTTCTTGTCACTTTCATTTTGCAAGTTGACATCGGCACCCTGATCTACAAGGAGTTGTACGATATCTTTGTGTTCATACTCAATGGCTATGTGCAGTGCCGAGTATCTCATTGCTTCTTCGGCATTCACGTCAGTTCCTCTCTCGAGTAGCAACCTACAAACTTCTTCTAGTCCGCTTTTCGCAGCTAAATGAAGCGGTGTCTCGCGGCCTAGAATTCGCAAGTTGACATCGGCACCCTGATCTACGAGGAGTTGTACGATATCTTTGTGTCTATACTTAATGGCTAGGTGCAGTGCCGTGTATTCATCTATTGCTGCGGCATTCACATCAGCTCCTCTCTCGAGTAGGAACCTGCAAACTTCTTCTAATCCGCTTTTCGCAGCTAAATGAAGCGGTGTCTCGCGGCTTAGAGTTTGCAACTTGACATCGGCACCCTGATCTACGAGGAGTTGTACGATATCTTTGTGTCTATTCTTAATGGCTAGGTGCAGTGCCGTGTATCCACATCTTTCTACGGTATTCACGTCAGCTCCTCTCTCGAGTAGCAACCTGCAAACTTCTTCTTGTCCGCTTTGCGCAGCAAAATGAAGCGGTGTCTCGCCCCTTCGAGTTTGCAACTTGACATCGGCACCCTGATCTACGAGGAGTTGTGCGATATCTTTTTGTCCATTCTGAATGGCTAGGTGCAGTGGCGCTTCACCATTTTCGTTTTGGGCATGCACGTCAGCTTCTCTTCTCATAACCAGTTCCTCCATATTGTCCGGCCTATGGGGGATTATTATTAATTAAATCACTGTTTAAATCTCGTGCTCAGATCGCGGAGTTCATCTCATTAGTCTCTCCAACTCTAGACAATATTTTTCTTATAGACTATCGTGTGTGAGCGTATATATATATATACGATAATAAGCGACACATGGAACTACTTTTGCGATTATCTCGAAAACGCGTGGCCAGTTGCGGGTACTTATACATATATATATATTTATGTTGTCCTAGTGGAGTATTAAGAGTGTACAAAATTTCAAAAAAATCTGTGACCCGAACGTCGTTTTGTCTCCTTGTAAGCTGAAGTTGAGCCGAGGATTTCAACACATTTGAAGGGATTCCCGTTGGCTCCCATTTTAAAACTGATCACTATACCTCGTACATTCTCTTTTTCTTTTTTTCTTTTCAAGCCTGTTTTTTACTGCTCTAAGTATATGTATTATCTGTATGATAATATGCAAGGAAGCATGCACATAAAGCTTTTGTCTCGACAACTCTTAGAGTGCTCTTAGAGCACGATACGAAATGAATATGGCGCGAAATCACGCGAAATGAATGTCCGAAACAAGTAACAGACGCTCAAATGTATACAAGCCTAACATTTTAACAAGTCCCAAAAATTCAGTTACATTTTCGAATTGAAAACTATTCCATGATATGAATTGTAAATTACTTCAACAGTCAATTACTCTCAATGACTTTAGAACGTAAGGCATAAGGCTGAAGAATAAAGTACTAACCCTTTGCACTCGAGACATTTCGGAGCATTTTTGCTGAATTCCTTAGCTCTAACTTAAAATGATTATACATCCAAATTACTACATAAAATTTTTATATTTTAATATTTTGCGTATTTTTGTACCTTTAGAAACATAATTTCGTAAACATTAATCATAGCATTTTTCCTTTGTTTGATATTTACTGTAACAATTTCCAAAATGCGTGCCCGGTTTGTCGGGACAAGTATTACGATAATATGTTGTCTGGTGTCTTTCTCCGGGTATATTTCGTCGCGAGCAGACTTTGCAATCCTTCTTAACTCCCGTTAGAACAGTATTCTTTTTTCTATTATTCACTTTCTATTATTATAATCTTTCGGCGCGACTGTCAAGTTCGAACTAATGTCGAAAGTGATGCACGGTTGTCGTTACAGACTAAGGTTCCGATACGAAAAACTTATCTCCATTTAAAGGAGTATCATTTTACACTTATAGGGTCTTATACACGCGTCGCCTGTCTCGCTAAAAGCGCCACAATAAAATTTAAGGTGAGATAACGTCTTGGTGAGCGAGAGTCATCGCTCGAGTGCAAAGGGCTAATATGTAAATGCACGCGTTACATAAACGTTTAAGTACTCTCCATTACATATATTCAATATTTTGTTTCCGTTTCTTATCCGTGTACTGTACAAATATATTAACGTACCTGATGTATGTGTACGAAGATCAAAGAAGATGCCAAAGGACTGCAGAAAACGCACAGGATGCACGCAAAGAACAATTATAGGAATAAGTGGACAGAACAAGAAAATAGTTGAAAAATAGCTGGAATACTGGGCAATATAGGTACGTATAAGAAGAGGCACGACACTGGTGAAGAACAATTAGACAAAAAAATGAAAAGAGCACGAAAATGATTGGGAAACAGCTGGAATACTGGACAATATAGGTACGTGTAAGAGGCACGACACTCGTGAAAAACAATTAAACAAAAAATTGAAAGAGCACGAAAATAATCGGAAAATAGTTGGAACACTAAAAAATATAGGTACGTGTAGATACAAGAGTTGAAAATATAAAATATAACAAAAAGGAACAAAGGACCCTTGCACGAGACACTGACAACGCTCGAGGAAGTCTCACAAAGGAAAATAATGGAAAGCAGCGGAAAGCGGGAGAGGACAGGATCCAGAGAGGAGGGGGTGGGTTCCTTTCTTCCTTTGATACCTACAACGAAAGCGAATATAGAGGGCGTTAGAATTTTTATACATTCATTGGCCGGTATTCACAGTCCGTGCTCAAGCAATTGCTTGAGCAA